CTCCTCCTTCCCCCGCCGCCCGCCCCGGCCCAACACACACACACACACACACAGACAGATACCGGTAGACAGACAGACAGACAGACAGCTGAGCCCGGCCCTGCCTGCCTCAGGTGTCCTGCTTGCTTGCTTCACCACCCGGCCTGATCACCAACCCATTTCCGAGCCTCATAAAATACCATACCACACCATACACAACACTATACCTACCAGGAAGAAGGCATTGGCGGACGCCCCAAAAAGCCATTACAAAGCCCATCGCCGTCAGGGAGCAGCCGCTTCCGATCGCTACGGCAGCCTGCCTGCCTGCCTGCGTCACCGCGACTCCATCGTCAACGATCCGTGTTCTGTCTCTCTGTCTGTCCGTCTCAAAATGACAAGGCAGCAGGCACCTTCCCTCGAGGCCATCGCCGCCAGCCCCTCCGGCGTCATCAACGACGACCAGCAGGAAGACTCGCGCTCCTCCTCCTCCACCAGCTCCCCCGCCCCGGCCGAGTATGAGGAATCCGACTTCTTCCTCGGCGCCAACGACTCCCAGTCCTCCCTCGGCGTCCCCAATCTCCAAGACATGCAGGTCAACGACGACGAGTGCCTGCCGCCCATCCAGCGCCTGCCCAACGAGATCCTCATCAGCATCTTCGCCAAGCTCACCACCTCTGCCGACCAGCTTCACTGCATGCTGACCTGCAAGCGCTGGGCCAGGAACTCCGTCGACCTCCTGTGGCATCGCCCCGCCTGCACCTCGTGGCACAAGCACTCCTCCATCTGCCAGACCCTCGGCCTCGACCAGCCCTACTTCGCCTACAGGGACTTCATCAAGCGCCTCAACCTCGCCGCCCTCGCCGACAAGGTCAACGACGGGAGCGTCATGCCCCTCGCCGTCTGCACCCGCGTCGAGAGGCTGACCCTGACAAACTGCAAGGGCCTGACCGACACCGGCCTCATCGCCCTCGTCCAGAACAGCGGCCACCTCCTCGCCCTCGATATATCCGGCGACGAGCAGATCACCGAGTCCTCCATATTCGCCATCGCAGAAAACTGCAGGAGGCTTCAGGGCCTCAACGTCTCCAACTGCAGTAGAATCTCCAACGAGAGCATGATCAGCTTGGCAGAGGCTTGCAGGTATATCAAAAGAGTATGTCAAACCCCCCCGCCCCCTCTTGTATTTCTGCTCTCGGTTGGCTCCTGGCACTTCCGTCCTGAGAGAAACTTGTGGGCAATCATTCCCACTGCTCTCGTCGTCTAATAACCATGACTATATATCTATATCAAGACGCATCGTCAGGCTAACCTCTACATAGCTTAAACTAAACGAGTGTGGCCAACTCACCGACGATGCCATACTCGCCTTTGCTCAACATTGTCCCAACATCCTCGAGATCGATCTGCAACATTGCAAGTTGATTGGCAACGCGCCCGTCACAGCTCTCCTCGCAAAGGGGCAGTCCCTCCGAGAACTTCGTCTCGCAAGCTGCGACCTCATCGACGATAGCGCCTTCCTCTCGCTCCCACCAACCCAGACCTATGAGCACCTCCGTATCCTCGATCTGACTTCCTGCGCCCGCCTCACCGACCGTGCCGTCGAGAAAATCATCAACGTGGCTCCCCGGCTGCGTAATCTCGTTCTGGCAAAGTGCCGCAACATCACAGATATTGCCGTCTATGCCATCTCCCAGCTCGGGAAGAATTTACACTATGTACACCTCGGGCACTGTATTCAAATCACAGACGAGGCCGTCAAGAGGCTCGTTCACTGCTGTAACAGGATCCGTTACATCGACTTGGGCTGCTGCTCCCACCTAACAGACGACTCTGTCACGAAGCTGGCCACGCTGCCAAAACTCAAGAGGATCGGTTTGGTCAAATGCAGTAATATCACAGACGAGTCCGTCTATGCGCTCGCAAAGGCGAACCAGCGCTACAGACACCGGAGAGACGCAGAGGGCAATGTTGTTGGAGATCCGTACCCGAGCCACAGCAGTCTTGAGCGAGTGCATCTTAGCTACTGTACAAGTCTTACTTTGCGAGTGAGTCCATCCATCAAATCACCAATGTTCCGGGCCGTTTCTTGCTAAAACTTGAGAACAGAGCATCATCAAACTTCTGAACTCCTGCCCCCGCCTAACGCATCTCAGTTTGACCGGCGTCCAAGCATTCTTGCGACAGGATCTTGAGGCTTTCTGTCGCGATGCCCCAGCCGGTACGTAAACAATCTTGACCTCATCTCCTCGTGCAAGAAAGTAAGAATACTAACTCGTCTTGCTCACTTTAGAATTCACCGACCATCAGCGAAACGTGTTTTGTGTCTTTTCCGGACAGGGTGTCATCGGCCTCCGTCGATATTTGAACAGCGAGGCTACATTTGCTGATATGCGGGATCGGACGCCTTCGGGCTATCCACGCCATCCCAATGCTATTCCCGTGGTCAATGGGGGTGGGATTGGAAATGGCGGGCTCGCCCTGCCTGACATCGGGTTTGACGATCAGGAGCCTGACGTTGTGGATGATGACGATGGGCTCGACGATGGCAGCGAGATGGTTATCGATGTTCAGCCGCTGCCCGCACCACAAGCTGCTACTCCTGGCATAGGCGGTACGAGCTTAGATGCCGGTATCATCCCTCCACCACCTCCCATCGTTACGCATCCTCTGAATCCCACGGTTGCCCCGTGGCAAGGGCCCGGTCCCGGTCCCTTTGCCATTCAGCCTATACCAGCTATTCGCTTTCCTAGCCAACCTGAGTCGACGATACACGGAAATTCTCCCTCCCAACTAGATTCAGAAGAGGACGACATGGACGAGCAAGGCGATGCCATGGACGTTTCTCCAGCACACGTAGGTGCAAGTACTGCACCCCTAGGCAGCCATGGAGTCGCGGGTCCCTCCAGAGCGGAGACTGGGTCAGGGTCAGGGTCCGCTGTTAGTTCAAGTACGGCCAGTATTGCGAGGACTGCTTTGGCGGGCAACTCAAGAACCTTCACAGAGACTTATGACCCGAACGGAAATGGCTCAGGGAGCAGGAACACGGGTGAAGGTTCTAATGGCGCATAAAGGGCTATTTAATTGAGCTGTTAAGAATTCTTACTGCCACGACTCTTGGCCCCTGATGCGACTTAGCTTCCCTAGCCTATCCAACACGGTCTCACGGCCGACTATTACATCTACAGATTGAGAAGCTCACAGCAGGTCGAACAGTACTTGATGTTTCACAATAGTACATGGCAAACGGTTCATAGGATGAACCGGGCGTTGATCCTCGAAGATGGTCGTCGTCACATAGAGTGACTTATAGCTGCCACGCAGCAGAGTGATAGTACAACAAGGGTCAACACGATCTCGTGCTGAGACAAGCACGCTCATATCAGGACAAACACACGGTCAACATTATCAGTACAGGCGAGGCAGACGAGCAGCGGTGCACAGGGCAGAACCCGCTATGTCTCGTACTCGTCTAGTGTCGTGAAATGAGGGACATCAAGATATTAACTGCCACCGTATTTCAGTGGTTAGCATGGATTTCAGCAGTAACGTTGACGGCACAGCCTGGTAGACATTTATGAGAAGGACAGGTTTAAAATTGTACTGTGTCCGCACCTGCATCCTGCAGTATACTTGAGCCTCACAAATTTATCGTGAATTCTAGAGCTAGTGTATAATGACTGTGTCACTGCCTATTTCCATACCCTCAGACTCTTTACTTTTGCAAATTTGGCAATCATGCGAAACCCATACCTTTCTCGGCGACTGAGTGCAACCCAGCGTCATCCAGACTTAGCATTCTTGCATGGTTATTACCACGATCAGGAACATATCCATCCCCCCGTGATCCGTACTTGATTTACAAGCACGCATTCTCTCGTCGCCTTGCTTTGACCGTCTACCGGAAAGTGGTAATCTTGCCAAAGGTGTCTGCCATCCCCCAGATGCCTTCCCGGAGACAACTGACTTGAACGATCTGCGAATGGTCCACAAACAGGTTCACATCGGCGCCAAACTCACGTATATACCAGTTGAAGACCTTGGTCTCCGCAGCCTCGAACATGACTCTGTCGGCGGGAAGCTCGCGCAGGATGCCCTGAATGACATCGGTCCTCCAATTCTTGACATTCTCTGTGATGCCCTCACTCTCAATCATAATTCGCTCGACGCCAGCGTCATTGATGAAGCGCTTGCCGAGATTGACGACCTTGGAGGGGTCCGAAGAGCCAAGGCTCTCGAGCGCACCTGCCTCGGTGTCACCCCCGGCTCCGAATTGGATTCCAATCTCGGGCTTGGCAACCAGGCCGGCGGAATGGACTTTGTCTATGAGACGCATCCAGTCGTCCGGCGGAATGGACAGGAATCCGGTGGAGATCTCCATCACGTCGAAGCCGAGAGACTTGCAGCGCTTCAGATATCGATCTACCGCAGAATGGGCGTCCGATTGCGTGAGCACATGCTCGATCCAGCCACCCTGTTGATAAGTAGGTCAGTGAGAAATCCTGCACATCATGATGGGGGTTGGTGTTGGCAGCTTGATTCTTCCAGGGGAGGAGGCATATGAGAAACAGATGGACGGAGAGCATCAGCGGGCAGACTTGCCGTTGAAACATAAACGCCGTGTTCGTGGGCCAAATCAAGCAACTCCCTCAGCTTGTCTTCCGGGAACAATGAGAATGATCCGCCGGCAAATTTGAGACCGTCGACATGATAACCCATGCTGATGGGAGATAATCAGCGTGCTACTTGTAGGAATCTGAAACCGGGCGGCATGTGTTCGGATGGCCGTCTGCTCTGCTCAGCGTGGGGGAACTTACGTCTCGAGGACATCCTTGAGATATCGCTTGCCCATGGCAGAATAGTAAGGTCCCCTAATCTCGGTGACCCCAGTCTGCCTGGGCTTGGGGGGACGGGCGTTGTGACGGATGAAGCCAAAGCCATTTGGATCCTCGAGCATGATCTTAGGCTGGGACAGTGCATGACAGGATGAGAAGGGTCGCACGATAGACATGTGGCCATTTGGTGCCACAGACTTGAGCGCTCGTGCTGCGGCTCTGGGGATCATATTGGCTGATTATGGAGAAGGTTCTCAGGAGGCTTCGGGCTGGTGGCTCAAAGATGTAATGCTGATACAGGCTTGGAGAATCACGTTAATTAATTTGGATAGGTATGTGTCAGGTCAGACTGGCAGATGAAGCACCCGGATAATGGACTAGTAGGGTCAGGCGTGATGCTTTTGCGTATAAGTAGGGCATGAGTATCTATCGCACTACCCTACCTTACATATTTTCTCAGGTGGAACATCCCATCAGGCTTGCATGGAGGTACCTGCATACCATACTCAAAGTGCGAGAGGTACAAACCTACCCTTTACATTGCTTTCCTCTACTTTGCCGTGTACAGTAAGATTAACGGCCATGGGCGTCCCATTGATTGTTGTGACGGAGCTGTGACATCACGACGAATGATGGAAGGTGTAGATCACCCAAATGATATCCTCCTCCTTCGTATGAATTGAAGTGGCTCTCGCTTTACTTGCATCCACCAGAAGAGACGCCGGTGCCTTTGCCCATCTTGTCTTATCAAGATTAGGCATTCCGAGAAGGGTCAAAGTACATAAACCGACCAACATAGTGTCGGCACGGACTTTGGCTTGGCGCGCCGAAGTGCGAGGACCCCGAGCGCCGCGCCCGGTGTGGTGGGGATACACTAAGTACCATAAATAGGGGGTCAACTACGGACCGGACCGGCACCCCGTCTCCCGCAAGGGGTCTAAGGGTCTCAGGGCCCAAGGATCCCAGTGTCAGGCAGCGCCTCGTATAGGCATGAAGGCACCAGCTCCCCAACTGAAGCACTACAGGCAAGCGTCCTAGGTATTCAATGTGCTTATTTCTCTATGGATCATCCTGCTAACTTTCTCATATAATGGTTAATGGAGGCTTTGTCTGTCGGGATGTTTCTTCTGGTTCTCCGGATTTGCAGGGCCATCGTGGTCGTATACGGGCGGTAACATCGGTTCTGTCCATACGCTGTGGATCAATCACTCCACTCGATCAAGATGACTGTAGTCAATGATTACACTGCGATGGTCGAAATCTTGCTCATTCAATGCTATGTCACATTGCTCAGACAACTGACTTACCTCGAGGGTAGCCGTAGCATCAAGCCAGCTCACAGATCTCACGAGATAAGCACGCATTCTCTTTCTCGAGCGAGGACTAGGACCAGTACGAAGAGACAGTTTGATTGCCGAACTAAATAGAGTATGTTTTTTTTCTGGCGGTGATCATTGAATGTACTGGCACAGCCGCCAATCCAAGTAGCACTGTTCAAAACCTGTTCATATGAGAATGGAAGTTTGTGATCGCTCTGCCGGACAATGAAACTCTCCTCCAAAGCTCGCAATGTGTGCGCTATATTGCGTCTCTCTTCCCCCTTCGTCTACTCGTCAACCCATCTTTTCGCCGTTAGTGTTACGATTGCCAAGCTCTGCGGACCGAGCAAACATACAGTTCTGCTGACGCTTCACTTATTTCTTGTGGACGGAGCAGCCGGCACAGGTGCAAGAGGCACCGCAGGAGCAGTTATCGCCGCACATCTTGAGTTGAGTTGGATGACTGATATAAGACTTATATATCGAACAGTTGGGGTTTCCGTGTTTGGTCTGGTTGCTGAGCTTGGAGAGTTGCTTGACTTTGTTTCTAGAAAAGTCAGAGACAAAGAAGGAGCGGGGGTGTCTTGCGCTATTTATCTACGGTAAAACTTGCTCACTCCACTGCACGGTAGATGGTGGCCGAGCTACGGTACTCGGGTGCAGAGATGCCTGCCCTGTCAGCCCGTATGCTCTTGTCTATGCCTTGCCTTGCCTGGCCTGGCCGGGCCGGGCTTTCTATGGCACTATCATGCTAGGCACAGGGCATGAGACGATGACTGCCGCGTCTGCCGACTTTGTCGTCTTTGTCGTCTTTGCATTGACCTCCGTTTCGATCCTCTCTCCACATGCGCAAGTGCAGAAAGAACGCCACTGTCATGCATGAGATAGCAGCGATTGGACCAGTTTCGGCTCGACCTGATGTCAGGAAAGGCGGGTCAGGCTTTGGGTGGTGTGGCGATGGACACACTGATTCGCTCCCTTTCTCTCCAGCTACGGGAATAGCCCCAAAAGGAGGGCAAGATAGCATTGTATAAGAGTATAAGGCTATGCGCGTATACCTGTCCGTACGATGCCAGTGAATATGCGGTGCTGGACCAGCATTGCTCGTGGTCACGTTGCTGCCTCCGCCTGCCCCATCCATTGACAAGGCCAGTGTCTCCAATTATGCATTCATTGATCGACTTATTTTTCAAGCTGCTCGTCGGAGCAGTGAGCCAGCCGATAAGCGGATACTGCTCCTATTAGCTAATGGAATCCCGCGCCAGCTAGAGCCGCTCTACGGATTACATCCCCGGCTTTCTGAATGTCTTGCTATACCACACAGCTCGAACCTCCAAACTCAGTCCTAAAATACTTCCGTCTCTACCCAGAAGCTGGACGGCACGTGGAGCCAGTATAGTCAAATGGGATGCTAGCATGGGGATGGAAGATTCAACAACGGTCGATACGTGTGTAGGATGAAGCCTAGGCTGTGGCTGCATATATAAGTGGTCCAATTATCAACATACATATAGGCACTCCCTACGTCTACGTGCCGCACGAGCAAGATATTGTATGGTTCATCTCTAGCCATGGGACCAGTAAGAGTTGCCGACGTTCCGTCACGGCAACCCGGAACACGGCCAGCGGTGGTAAGCCATTATACAACGATGAACGTTGACATTGTGTTACTACTACAACTACATCTACCGATGTGACCCCCTTTCTACCCAATGGCATTGATCAATACGTGTTTGCCTCCCCGATAGCCCTCAACCAGCGCAAACGACCGTAGGGCCTTGTGACTTGCCAAATCTCGGAAATTTTATGACATGATGTGTGACGACTGGAGTCACTGCGCCGCATGTATCTTGGGAGTTTGGCATCATCTGGTTTCTCTTTATAACTTGCTCACACGAGTGGTTTCAAGGATAGACCTGGAAACTTCTTGTTTCGTCTCGCTGTAATTTCGTCAGATCTAAACCGTAGCTGAGTAGTGGTATGATTATTGTTTGCTTGATGTCTAAACCCGAGGTTTAGAACTAGCTTTTTCAAGAACGAGGAGAAAAGGGGTACAGCTCTCAAATAATCAGGAAGGTTTATATTACTTTGTTGCAAATGAATCTATCTATCTTCAGAGAAGGGTCAAGTATCTCACCGTCCCCGTATTACGATCGGAGGCTGTCCATTGTATAACTAATCCGACCTACATGAAGGGTGGATGACGCGTAAGACTTCCCAGCATCTCGACAAGCACTCGGCCAATGCGGCAGTAGATCAGCATAGCACTTCTGCGTCTCTGCCCTCCTAGAAGTGCTCCAAGCCGCCTGTCGTCGAATGCGCTGATGACATTCTGTTGGCGATTATCGACCAATCCAGAGCGCTCCTTTTTAGATGCCGTTTCCCTAAAGCATACCAACATAGCTGTCAACGTAACTTATTTGTGATGCAACTAACAAAGGTATGAACACTCTAGATTTGCTCAAGCGTACAGTGAGATTCTCCCAACCGTACTTGACTAACTCGACTAATGTCGGGAGATGAAGGTTGGAATCAGATGAGTGAGATCTCAAGCAATGCTCACAGGGCCCATCCGGAAAAGGCAGCAGAGGATCTCATCCAGCTTAGGGGTTCTCGCTCATCAGAGCATGGCGGTCTGATAGAGAAAGACTGTATGTAGCGAAGCGGCTCCTCTTTCGTACCCGCTCACCAAATCGAATGAAAAGCGGGGGCGCGATACAGAATATCGTTGCTACAGCCGCTAAGATAGAGACTGCAATATTGTTCCCAAGGCTACTAAACATTTTGTCTGCAAAGAGAGGAAACCCTGCCGAAAATACGGATCGTAATAGTGCCTGAGCCCCGAAGGCGCTCGCAGAGTAGCTGAGATAGCTATCCGCAAGATACCCAGAGAGAACCGAGTCAAACTCATTCACCGAATAGCCAACCAGAACAAGAGCACTCGTGGGTAAGAGCCAGCCAGCCCTCATGTGGGGAGGGATAGTCCACGCAAACCACCAGAGGCCAATTGCAAGTGCGGGAGCTCCGACAACAAAGCCCGTCAGCTTATCTTCAGGTATTGCCTGCTGAGACGCCCGGCTCCTCAGTCGCAGAACATGGTCATCGTAACAACGCGTGAGGATCCCACACAGAAGACCCAGGCCTATAGCAAGTAGCGGTAGGGTTGTATGGGTGCCAACAAGACCAAGTGACGAGTAGACTGGCGGGAGCGCCTCAACAAACATATATACAATACCAAAAGCTATGGCGCTCATCATTGAAACCATAAAAACGATTGGTTCGCTGAATAAGAGGCGAAGAGGCCGGAACAAGGCCACTCGCACGAACATCCTCCAACTCGGTATGTGATCTGGATTTGCCACTGGGAAACACTTGCCGGTACCGTATTGAAATTCGGCAACCTTCCTCGCCAGCAGAAGGGAAGGTCTCGATTCCTTGACTCCCATGAGAAGAAGGGCAAATAGTTCCGCGCCAATTGCGCTGATATAGAAGATCCAACGCCTGGAAAGAAAATGGGTTAGTTGTACTGCGACCCTAAGCGTACGGCGTCAGAATGACGAACCAGCCAAGTGACGCCACAATTTGCGAACCGATGATGGAACCAAGCACAAGGCCAAAGTTTGCTGTCATAGACCAAATGTATATGACCCATGTTCGAGCCCGCGAGCTCCAAATATCTTCGATACTACCACCTACAACATTTGTGGGGGCAGAAGCAAGAATACCCCCAACAAAACGTCCAATGACGACTCCGCCTACCGTCGGAACAATAACCACCACGAGACAGCAAAGGCCATACATGGTAGCACTGGCGAAATAGAGACGTCTCCTCCCAAAAGACTCCGAATAAGGGGGGAATAGCACACCACCGAATGCTTGACCTATCATATAACTTTTGTAGTCCACGTCAGCGGCTGTGTCACATGTAGCGGCGTTCCTGACCCCGTACATTGAAACGAAAATGAAAGTTGAGGTAATCTGGCTTATGCCCAAGTCTTCACGAGCGGCAACGGCGACAGGCACCTATTATCAAAAACTTAGCAACCAGAAAAGACATGGACCAAACTCAACACCTCTACTCACCCCAGCTGTGCTCATTGCGCTCCTGACACTTCGTTAGTGTTGCAACTCGACGTCTCTTTCAAATAAATACTGACATGAATGTTTCAAGAAGAATTATGACTGCAGTATCAAACGCTTTCCTGGAAATGTTCCAGTTTTGAGGATGCGATCTGGCCAGGCGCGTCCAGTGGACCAACCCATCCGGATGTACTTCCAAATCCTCGCTCAGTTGCCGAGCCTGGAGAGTCAGTGCCGCATCCTCGACTTCCATCTTGCAGCTTTGATCAGTCATAGAGGACAGAGTAGTACAGGATGGAATCCTTGGGTCATATTTATTCCTTCTCAATCGTGCCCCTCTGACGCTCTCTTCATTGATCAGGACTCGCCGACAAAACGGCGAAAGCGGCCGTCGGCGATCTGGTGGAGAGTATCCGAGGCATGACCGTCAGCAGTGAAAAAGACACAGCAATAGCAACATGTGTGCCTATGGTCGTATCAAAGAGTTAGAAGAAGGTGCGTTTTCCAACTCCCTATCTGTTTCGCAGCCAGTTTCTCCGTATAAGCCACTTAAATTGAAGGTTCCATGTCTCCCCTTCGCGCTGAGCCGTGACATCCAGATTACCTTCCGTCATTCTTAATTGATTTGCTCTCGTAAAAGGTCCCTCACCTATGGCTAGCACGTAAGTACAACTTACGTGTGTCGAAAAGGCGGGTAAGCAGCCTGACTATTTGCGGTCCTCAGCATCGTTATTAGCTTGCCAAAGGACAGACGAACCCGCTCAGCGGCCGCGCGACATGTAGCTGAGGAATGAACACTTCAGCTGAGATGAATCACCAATCTGATCTCCACTGTATTCAAGAATGAAAAGCAATCAACTGGCCCTTGTCAAGTGTTCGAGTTCTTTGGGATCCAGATCCTCAAGATCACTTAGTCGTCTGCCGTGAGCCCAAATTCTTCGACTTCGTACAGAGACGCAATTGAGACGCCGCGGTTGTCAGCAATCATACCGATAAGCTGTTGACCCACGTCTTTGACCTCGTTGTATTGTCGTAGGAGTCGAATATGGTTCCCTACCAGCTCCTCCGGTGGCTGACTACATACGCCATGTGAGCAAATGCCAATGATTCCTAGTCCGAATCACCAAGGCCATAATTCACGTAATGACTGCGCTTGCAGCAATCATGTCGCACGGGGATACAACAACGGTAGGTATTTACCAATGCCTTCTGGCTCTCAACACGTGGGCGTGGTCGACTCACCTTAGGGCTTTGATGTCAGTCTCCATGACGGCTTGCCTCTCCAGCGCTTCTCGCAGAAGAGCCTCTGACTGTTTCATCATGTTGCACTGCAGCTGTCAGTTCTTTTCCAGGTCCGGCATGAATTGTTGCGCAACATTGCTTCGACGATCGCATCGTTTGCACCAGGTTGAGGTCATCGATTACGGAATAGTTGAGAGGATCATGCTTACAACTTTGTTGAAGTGAGTGACGTGCGCTTTCTGAGTAAAATTAGCTGGCCAAATCAGCCACTCGAGAAAAGGGCAAATGATGTGATAATACCTACCACTTCATGGGTTTCTACATGGCTTGGGATCTCTACCTCGGAGGACGCTTGGGGACCGGGCACTTCTTTCTCGAGCAGCAGGCGACCCGACGCAGTTTTGATCACGGTTACAGAGTCCCATGCTCCATAGTTGGGCACCGCAAGAGAGCCGGTGGACATGATTTCTTGCAGACGTCGCTCGTATTGCGCAAGCCGCTTGGAGAGCTCGCCTAACACGCCAGCATCGTCGTGGCTGGAAGCCACTTCGGTGACCATGGCCATTTTGAACTCATCGATGAAGCGGAGCTCTGAGGACAACAGGTCACCTCGCGTCGTAGGCATCGCGGCAAGAACGCAACAAGCACTTAACAGAAGATAGTAGAGGAGTCGATGAAGCAGGGAGGTACACAGACGAGTACTCTGCACGGCGTTGTTGTGACTGGTGGCCGTTGCTGGCGGATGTATCATATGCCCACACGCACATCAGTGATTGTCGCTCTCGATGGCGCCATCAAAGGAGTGCCACCGCTTCCATACGAGCTGAAGGCAACAAGAAAGAAGAAAGAAAAAGGTATAGTGGACCTTGCGGCTGTCCGTCCAGTGCACGCATTTACATATCGTATCAAGGTGGGTTTCTGTATTGGAGATCATTTCATGTAGCGGGTCGTGCCGCCGCCTATCATAGTGGGCTGCACCCTATCCTAGGCACATAGTTAGGGGGAGCTTTCCGCTGTTCATCCAAATTGCCCAACCATCTTTCCAGAGATTATCTCTGAATCCCTCTCTAGTCGATGTAGGCACAAAGGTTCAAGTCATCAATCAATCCGTACATGTTTCAGACCCAAGGCACTTTCACATAGCACTGGCGAGCAAAGGTTCAATCAGATTCATAGTTTCGGTACACTAGAGCCTCCCTGATATCAGAGAATATATCAGATAGACAACTCCTCGCCACTCATCGCAACTGTCACATGGCATAAGCTTCCACCAGTTCCTAGCTGCCTGAAGTTTTGATCTAAGCACCTCGTCACCGCTTGTGGTGCGGCCATGGCTGCTGCTCTTCGCCCACATCTCCCTACTGATCCTACTGATCCTCGCCGCGCGAGCTACCCATCCCCCTGCGCATCGACTCCAAGCTGCATTGACGGGTTCGCCTTGTTAGAGTTCGAAAAGAGCTACAGCCTCTCGAGCTATGGACGCAAACGCGTAGACTCTAGATACATCCCAGTCTCACGGATGACCATTCCATAGCGACCGCCGGAGCTTCAGAGAAGGAGACTATCATATCTCATCCGACCAGCAACCCGGCAGCAGTACGTGGCTGGCCAGGCGTGCCAATATCTTAATTAATCTTTGACAGACCTTGTTCGAGAGTGTTGACTCATCCAAGTTGAGCATTCCCGTTGCTCTGGCCAAAGAGATCGCTTAGGCTGAGTCTCCTGCCCATAGCCTGCATCGCCGGCCCAAGAGACTCTTGCCCGCCATCGACGCCGGCGTTGGCGGCACCTGCAGCGGCGTCAGAATCAGCGTTGGAACCGGCCAGAGCCTCCCCAGCAAGCCGAACGCGCTTCCATGCCTCCTGAATGATACCGGTGTTCACCTCTCGCGTATCATCCTGGTCAGCATGCATCCACACCCCGACAACCTTCTGTGTCGCGGCCTCCTGAGCCTCCTGGACGGAGCTACCGCTTCCAGGCCCGTCGACATTGAAGATGAGCAGCTCTTGCGCGAACTCACAGTAGCTGACCTTGGAGAGATCAAGAACCACATTGTCCAGGCCCCTTCGGTTGAGAACGAAGACGCAAGAGCGCGGAACGGCGGTGCCCCGGATGAGCAGAGGCTCCTGCTCGCAGACAAACAAGGTGCCCTCAACGCCCGATTTGTCCCAGGACTGGGTGTCCGGGGAGAAGATGTATATGACGGCATTCGCTGCGATGGAGACGATGGCCTGGATGCTGGGCAGGTAGCGCTGCAGGACACTGAGGTTGAGGTCGGTGTTGGTGCGGTGGAGGAGATGCGGAGCGGGGGTGAAGTCCCTGGTCTCCATGTAATGCGCGGCATCCGACTCGTAGTCTGAAGCAACGATAGCACGAGGACCTCCGGCGTAGCCACCGGCCCCGACACCAACGCCCCCGCTACTGGGGTGGTGACGGTGTCGGGACTTGCGGGGTGTTGCGCGACTCATTCTTGATCCGGAGAGACGGAGACGGGGCTCATGGATGATTTTGTACGTATGGATCGATCGATCGGGCGGTTGGGAGCAGGATGCAGACAGCGACAGTGACAGCGGTAGCGACAAGTGTCCCCTTCGTTGTTTGTTTGATGCGAGCGGGCGGGGAGTGCTTGGGTGGTTTCTGCCAAAATTAGATAGGTGAGAGTCGGGCACGAAGGCCTTACGCTGTGGTTGCGATCGTGGTCAAGGCTGGCGGCGAGTATGTGGTGTGAGGTGTTGTTGGGTAAGGTGGGAAGAGGTGAGGTAAGTTAGTATCCTTGGTGTAGCCAAGCAAGGGTAGGAAGCTTGAGCTTTTCCCCCACCAACGTCGCGTCATAGTCGTAGGTGTTCCATTCCCCCTCAACCAGACCTGCATCCATCCATCCATCCGCCCATGCAAGCTACCTCGCGCAAGACAGTGCAGAGTTGATCGTCTGTGATTCGAACTCCTTTTTCCCGTCTTTCCTACAAAACCCAGGCAAACAAGCAAGGAAGGCGTTTGCGAATCCAACCGAGTTCCCTCAAGTCTCGTCGTCGATTGCGCGCGCACGCCGCCCTCCCTTGCGCAGTACAACTTACATCTACCTTACACATCACATCGATCGATTCTCACCCAAAGCATCTGTCTACTTGACTGGCGCTGGCTTAATTCCATGGACTAGACAACTTAAAGTGCTCTCTTCTCGAGGCTGAATTGGGCTTGTACCCAGTTGATCCTCTATGCGACCTAGGTATCACACGCCGTCATGGAGTTGAAAGTCTACCGTTTCCTGGCTGCCGGCTTCCTCATTTTCATATAACGCTTTTTCTGTGTTCTTTTGGCTAGAAGCTGGCCGTGCTCGCCCAGTAAGGGCGTGTATCGGCATTGCTAGCCATATCTTAGCTGCAGTCTCCTTTGACCGAGCGACCGATCGACCGATCGACCGATCGTCCGATCAGTTTGTCTGACCGAGACGAGACACGATGGCTACGTCGTCCGCTGACGAAGCGCCGCCGCCGCCAAGTGAATCCGCTGCCACCACCGAACCCGTGGACTTGACCTCAAGCCCTCAGTCCCTCCATCGCGCTGTCCATGCTCGCCGCGCCGAATACACCAGACCACACAGGCTCAAACTCAAGGTCGGCACTTGGAACGTAGCCGCCTGCCCCGGCACCGATAAGGACTTGGCCACATGGTTTGTCTCTGGCAAGGGTCTTGACAAGCGCCTGGCGAATCTCGACGGCTCGCACAATTCTGCCCTTGACGACGGCATAGAGACCGTCACTGTCGCTGGCAGCGGCGACAGCAGCGGTGACGATGGCCCCGGCTCCATACGCCTGATTGGTAACGATGATATCGGCCTCTACGTGCTCGGCTTGCAGGAGATTGTCGACCTCAATCCCGTCACGCAGTATGTCTACTCGGATTCAAATCCCACCGCGAAATGGAGGGCTGCGTTGGAGGCTGCGCTGCCCAAGGGATACGAGCTCGTAACGTCAGAGCAGTTGTCTGGTTTGCTGCTGCTAGTATACGCCTCTCCCGAAATTGCTCCGTCTATCGGGAACGTGAGCACCAAGGCTGTCGGCACCGGCGTTGGAGGCTGGTTTGGAAACAAGGGCGCTGTTGTCACTCGCATTGTACTTGGAGAGACGACCAGACTGGTCTTTGTCAATTGTCACCTCTCAAGCGGCAACGACTCGTCCGCCCTAGAACGCCGGTGCTGGGATGTCGGTGCCATCGTCGACCGCACGCAGTTTGATCCCGTGGCCCACGCCGGTGTTGTGGAAGATGATCCTGAGAGAATTGGCGATGAGGACTTTGGTTTTTGGTTTGGCGATCTCAACTTTCGGCTGGATGACATTCCAGGCGATGATATCAGGCGCATCCTGATGCTACATACAAGGGGAGAATACGATTTGAAGAAGAAACCCACTGGCCATGCCGGTGATGGCGAGGATGTCATCGTTATGCGCGCCTATGACAGCAGCGGGGATGATGATTCGGTGTCTTTGCCTGATCCGGACGATTTTGACCCAGACCCGAAAGATGACCCGGCTTCACTACAGGCGACTTTAGACTCTCTGCTGCCGCACGATCAATTACGGCGAGTGGTCAAGGAGAAAAGGGCTCTTCACAATGGCTGGCGTGAGGGGCTAATCACATTCCTGCCGTCCTACAAATATGATGTGGGAACCGTGGGATTGTTCGATTCTAGCGACAAACGCCGCGCCCCAAGCTGGTGCGACCGCATACTGTTCCGTTCGAGGAAAGACAAGGACGACTACGAGAAGAAGGTGGAAGAGGAGGAGCAGTCTCGGAAGAGGGACGAAGAGATGAAAGCCCGAGGTATGGATCATGCAGGGGACGATGATGAGGTTTTGTTTGACTATGACCCCGACAACGATGGCGAGACACAACCCGGTGGCCAGCCAGGTCTGGACTACGACGAATATGATGAAGCAGATGAGGGCGCTGATGAGGGAGATGGTGCCAAGGAAGGCTCGGTCGACCGGATACATCTCGATGTATATACGTCACACCAACGGATCATGTCTTCCGATCACAAGCCTGTCACATCCATCTTCACTGTTGACTATGATGCCGTTGTCCCAGACCTCAAGGCCAAAGTGCATGCCGAGGTTGCCCGGGAACTCGACCGTGCAGAGAATGAGGGCCGTCCCAGCATCACTATTGTTCCGGACAGTCATGAGCTCCATAAAGAGACCACGACGACATCTGGAACTACGGATGAGGTGGTGGATTTTGGCCATATACAATATCTAAGAAAGAAATCAATGTCACTCACGCTCGCCAACACCGGCCGCGTACCAGCAGTCTTCTCGTTCGTTGATAAGCCAACGACAGAAGAAACCAGCGACTCGGATCCGCCGCTTTGGCTGACGACTTCCTTCTCCAGGCCTGAATCGAGTGCCGTCAGTGGCGATATCGTCGATCTGGGTAAGGAGGTCACGCTCGAGCCAGGCGAGACCCTCGGTGCTGTTCTCGACGTCCTGGTAGACGACATTTCTCATGTGAGGTTGCTCAACGATGGCGAGTCGAAGCTTGAGGATATCCTAGTATTACGCGTTCAGGAAGGGAGGGATCACTTCATTCCCGTCCGAGCGACATGGACACCAACTTGCATTGGGCGTTCTATTGATGAGCTAATCCGTGTTCCCGACGGCGGCATCCGGGCATTCATCCGGAAGACTTCAGAGAAAAGCGGCCGCATTGGGTCGATACCATATGATCTAGAAGTTCATGGGTCTGCTCCAAAGGAACTATTCAAGCTGACGGAGGCCCTTGAGACTCTCACGGAACGTGTGCTGGCAGACGAGCAGATGCTTGATGCTCTCAGCGTCCCCGCGGACAAGGCAGGCTGGCCGTTCGAGAGCTTCACGACAGGCTCGCGTTTGGACCATATTGTCTCCGTCATCGACACTCTTGATGACGACAGGCCGGTTGGTAGCGCTTTTGCCCCGGAGGTCTCATCCATGTGTCGTCTGGAGACGGTCAGCGAGGTGCTGCTTCTCTTCTTGCGTGGTCTTACAGATGGTATTATCACCATTCCTCTCTGGTCCCGTATAGAGCAGGCATCGCTCTCTTCGATCGGCCCATCATCGTCCCCGTCGAATGTCTCGCCGAACGAAGACGACAAAGCCGCCATCTTGGACATCCTGGGTACGGCGCCGAATCACAACATTTGCTTCGTATTCCTCACAACCACCCTGTCCAAGCTGATCTCGGAGCTGTCGCCGATAACCAAGGCGGAGCTGGACGCCCTCAAGTCACCCAGCAACCCTCGCGCGGTCCTAGGGATGTTAGGACGCAGGTCCCTGAGCTTCCGGCAGAATGCAGCTGCACCGACAGCGGAGGCGCTCGCAGCTCTAGAGAGGCGGAGAAAACGGGAGCGGAGGCTGGCGGAGATATTCGGGCATGTGGTGTGCAGGGCGCAGAAGCCAGCAAGGGAGAAAGACAGGAGAGCTCTTGAGGACAAGCAGAGGGCCGTGGTGGAGCTGTTCTTGAAGAGGAGGGAGGAAACATGACTTTTTCTTTTTGAAATAGATCCACTCAAGTTGGTTGAGGCTGACGAACAAATATACAGACATATAGTCAGGGGATACCCGTTTTGGAGGCAGGATGGGGTATTCGTGTAACGATATCACTCTTGTTCATTGATCTACCTAAGATATCAACACTGTGAGCTGCGTGTGCTGCTGGCTTGGCACTGCCTGGTGGCACATGGGAAGAGGTCCATGTTAGACGATGATATCGCGTGTCTTGCTAAGCAAAAAATGAAAGCTGGAGGATTGGGTCATGTGCAGTCATCCTCCCCCGTAATCGTGGAGAGTGAGTTGTTCGTTGTCGGTTGCTATACTTGCCATTACAGTAACACGGTAAGGTTGCTCACACCTAGACGATTTGTCGGCGTGTGGAATCAACAATGATTCTTCCTATGCCGCCTCAAAGCGCCCAAGGTCGATAAGGTAGACGTCTACCAGAGACTCGTCATCTCATTCGCTGTCTCTCTCGTTGCATCAGGAGTGCCTATCTACACGCCTCAGGTGCATGCACTCAGATACTCACCTTGCGAAACCACCTATCTCAAGGCGGGTTGGTAGATAAATGCCCTAAGCTACTGAGCGAGACTGGGGACTCATTGCTACGTCTTACCAGAATGACAAACAAACAAGATACCTACCCGCCTAACCTCCCTTCACACACCACACCCAATCTACCTACCCACACGAGTCACCTCATAATTGCCTTTGCTCGACACATGTCTTGCTCTTTCCTACCTCAAATACCCCGGTAAATTTGACAGCAACCGCGATCACCTTGCCTTCCTCCCTCCGATAGCAAAAATAGCAAACCTGTGGAAGCCGCCGAACCAGCAAGAAAGCCGTCGACCACGCTGTCTTTGACGATCGGTCACGAACACGCCTCGACCAGCTACTCGGATTTCTCGTGACCTCTCTCGCCGCCCACTTCGTTCCTCCTTACTTTCTGCAAGCAGCCCTTTTCCAGATATTCTAACCCAACCACCTAATCAAAGCCAATCTCGATATGCTGCCCCCGTGGTCTGCTTTCGACTCCAAGATCCTGGCGCCACGGCCCTCAATCGAGAGGCGTCGCCTAATGCGCCGCCACGCTGAGAATTATCTCAAGACCCTCGACGACTTGAAGACGCTCGTGATCGGCAAAACTCAACCACACGATGTCGAAGCGGCGCACGCGAGCGTCCAGCTGCAAGTGCCTACCACATCCAGTGACGACAGCGACGGAGGAGATGCAGAACGAGGACATCTCCGACCGACTGGTTCCCCAGGCGACGACCAGAACAACAAGAATGGCAATGATGGGGAAGCCATCCCCAAGAACGATGACATGAGCAACGAATCAGGGAAGACCGAGGCAAACGCTGTACTCACCCAACACGCCAAGGACGGAGTCCGGTCTGCGCAGGACATCGGCCGACACTTCGCTGGGGAACCAAACCCCCACCACACCGTATCCAGGGATCAGCTGGTCAAACTACTCCTTCATCGACACAGGATCAAGAAGCTGTGGTCCAAGATGGACGAGACAATCCAGGAAGAAAAGCAGCGCAATGACGCGGGGGAAAGTATGCCCAGCTCGTCGAACAGGAGAAGTACGCTCGCCTCCGACGCATGACACACTACGAAACAATCTTACCTGTCGATCCGCTGAGCAGACGGCCACATCGAAGTCCTCTCTGTGAAGAGTGGCACCTGGATGACTGGCTTTGGGAGAAGGCACTGGACGATGCCAGACGAAAGCAGGAGCACTGGTATAAAAAAGACGAAGAGGGAAAACGCATCCACAAGATTTGATATGAATCCCTGGTACCATCAACAGTAAATGGCAGCCTCGCATTCGACCGCAGGAGTCCGTAGAGACAATAGCGTGGTCTGCCGGGAAAATTATGTATTCGTAATATATCTTAGGCTCTTTTCAGAAATAAGATCCTATTCCTCGGGGAGGCTGATTGGGAGAAACAACAATGAGAAGAGAAATGGGCACGCGGACGTCAACCACCCCCTACCGCCGGGATTTTTGGTGGTCTTCTCACATTGCTCCGGTGAATCCGAATGCTCCTCACGATGATGCAAGAAGTGCTCGCCGTTGTGACAGGAAAGCCGCATCACAGTTTCGTGGCTGTGCGTTCTGCTGACGTTATTTATTCTGGGGCTACCACTCTCTGACAAGGAAGCCATTTATCGATGATGGCCATAATGTGGTCAGAGGATGCTTGATCCCGGCCAATTGCGCATTGTGTGTGCCAACGCAGAGTGCGAACGGTGCCTCTAACGTCATTCCGCTGCGCGAAGGAAGGTCAGCCTCGGAGCGCCAGCGCGTTGATAGGCTTGCGGCAACGTCCGAGGCCGATCAGGAGCTGGATGCACTACTCAAGATGAGAATAGCGTTCCCCAGAGACCGAAGATCCTCCCCACTCCTTTGGCGTGGGGAAGGGTACATGCACATCGGAGACGGGAGGACGCCACCATCCACAATGCCGTAGGAAATCAAGCAGACCCGAACAGATATGGCAGGACAGACGCTATAATAAGACATGGAGAAGCTTTTGCCAAGGGGTTGGCCAAGCTCTCTTTCAGCATTGCGAAACCCAATCATCACACTGTATTTCAAAAGTTGAGATCCAGCCCGTGCCATCTTGGGGTCCTTAAACACCGTGATCGAGAGTTTTATCTGCCCGAGTGACAGCGCAAAATAGACGAAGCCAACAGTCTGTGGTGGCACAAAATGGCACTCAGCGAGCAATCTCCAAAGCGCGACAGCACGGCAGCTCAACCATCGGAGCAACATGTCGAGCGCCCTTCTCGCGACCACAATGGCGCATTGAACTCCAACGCCGAGAAGGCCCCCTCTAATCCTGTGACAGGCGGAAAAAGAGAACTCAAAGAAGCGGATGTCTACGAACACCTGGGGTACTGTTATCCGTCCTGGAAGAAATGGGGAATTTTGAGCATTAGTAAGACACAACAGTTCGCTGTTGTCACCATGACCGTGCCTTGTAATTCGTGACCTCCTGCTGATATAGAAAAACATAGTGTTTCTTATACAAATAAGTATCAATCTCAATGCCTCTCTGTATGCCAATGGGGTCACTGCCGTGTCAGAGAAGTTCCACATAAGCGAACAGGCGGCTCGCGTGCCGCAGCTCACCTTCCTCTGTGCCTACGCCTTCGGGTGCGAGTTGTGGGCTCCTTGGTCAGAAGAGCTCGGCCGATGGCCCACGCAACAGCTGAGTCTGCTTTTGGTGAACCTCTGGCAGTTTCCGTGTGCGTATGCGCCAAACTATGCCACCCTGATCATCTGCCGTCTGCTGGGAGGCTTGTCCACTGCGGGAGGTTCAGTGACTCTAGGCGTTCTCGCAGATATGTGGGAGCCAGATGACCAGGAGTACGCCATTGCTTTCCTTGTGCTGAGCTCTGTCGGAGGTTCCGTTGTTGGTGCCGTGGTGGGCGGGTTCGTCGAGGCTCGCCAGCCCCTTGTGTGGATTTTCTACACCCAACTCATTGCCGGCGGGGCCGTACAAATTTTGCATTTCTTGCTCGTCCCGGAAACTCGTTCGACTATTATTCTCGACCGCCTAGCGAAAAAAAAGAGGAAGAATGGGGAGGATATTTGGGGGCCTAACGAAGTCAAAAGCCGCCGCATGGACTTGCGGGAAGTCATGATCGTCTGGAGTCGACCATGTAAGCAAGCTTCAACCTCTCTTAGCATCATTTTCCATGTCCACCTTTGGATTTTTGCTTCTCAAATAGACCTTTATTAGATCGCTGACTCCAAATTTTCCCCCAGTTTATATGCTAATCACAGAGTACGTGGGGCTTTTCCTACTTGTTTCTAGGTCATTCGCTGTCCTCAGGAGACAATTATTGACTTCAGATGTTATAGACCGATCGTCGCCTGGCTGTCTGCCGTCAGCGGCTTCAGCGATAATCTGATTTTCATCTTCCTACAGGGCTTCCAACCCGTGTATAAGCAGTGGGGGTTCGGCACCATCGGCATCAGCCTCGCATTTCTACCGTACGTGATCGTGCTCGTCCTGTGCCAGCTTCTTATACAATAAACTGACACTCTACATCTATTCATAGACTACTAATAGGTTATATCATCGCTTATATATCTTTCCTACCGTCCATACACAAGTTCCGGAAGAGGAGAAGAGAGCAGGGCTCGGACTCCGTGTCCCCCGAGGCCCGTCTATGGTGGTTGCGATACGGTTTGTGCATCATTGCATCATCAAACTCTAGCTACGAGGCGCTCATCAAAACATCACAGTCATCCTCCTGGAGCCCATAGGGCTCATTGGTTTTGCATGGACCTCCCTTGGACCACCTCACGTCCACTGGATCGCGCCCATGATCTTCTCTTCTCTAGTAGGAATTGCAAATTACGCGATATATCAGTCATCCATTGACTATACCGTTGCGGCGTATGGAGTGTACGCAGCTTCGGCTACAGGCGGCAATGACTTTGCGCGAGACTTTTTGTCTGGCATTGCTGCTCTCTATTCGACACCCATGTATAGCAACATCGGCAAGAAGTATCCCCTCGAGTGGGCGAGTACTATTTTGGCTATCATTGCGCTTCTCGTCACTACACCTGTGTTCTATTTTTATAAGCACGGAGCCGAGATCAGAAAGAGATCCAAGTTTGCAAGTGAGATTGCAAAGGCCAGGGAGGAAGGACGCGAAGGTCGACCGCGAAACAAGGGTGAGGAACCTGCGTTGCCGGGACACGAACAGGCCTAGATATAACACATAATATACCATTCACACCATATTCGCTGTATTGTGAGGGTATTTTGTAGCACGGTAGTGGTGTTGTCATGTTTGTTACTTGACTTGGATTTCGAAAGTAGTCTACATCAGCTGTGTGGTTCTGCAAAAAGAACCAACTTCAATCGACATAATCCAGAAGTGATATGCCACGAGAAATGTATCACGCATAACAAGGCAACGTGGTCCCCAGTAGTACCATAGAAGGGATGATGGTTGAGTATGATAACCTCCCGTAGAGAAGTGCAGAGGGCGATCACAAAGTACTTATTTCGGGAAGATAGATGGACTGGAAAACACTGCATATCATTAAACTGTAACGCAATGGATCGTAAGAGACCATCGCCTTACTAGAAGCTGTTCTTGTGTAGGATTTGGGGGCTATCATCATTTCCGCTCGGATACAATGCGACCTTGCTTGGAGATGTCTGACTAGTCTAGATGAATTTTATTCAAGATTGTGCTACCAAATTGAGCCACTCGTCGCAGCTCCACAGGACCACGACGCAGCAGGGGCAGCTACTTAGATAGGTCATCGCCCCATATGGACTTTGCGATATCGACCTCTGAACGAACCTTTGCCCACTGCTCCTCCTTGGTCAAATCGTTGCCCTCCATCGTCGAGCTGAACCCGCATTGATGCGAAAGGCACAGCTGGTCCAGGCCACGGGGGCAATACGTTGCAGCCTCTTTTACTCTGCGGACGATATCTTCTTTGTCGTCTAGGGTGGCAATCTTACTCGACATGACGCCGAGGACCACGATCTTGTTCTCGGGCAGGTGCCGCAGTGGTGAGAAGTCACCCGAGCGCGCATCGTCGTACTCGAGAAAGTACACATCTACGTCTAATTTCTTGAAGAGCACCTCGGCGACCGGCTCATATCCACCCTGAGCGAACCATTGTGACCGATAGTTGCCCCTGCAGAGATGGATGCCGATAGTCATGTCGCGGGGCCGCTTGGAAATGGCACCGTTGATTAGATTGGCGTACTGCTCGGCCAGGTGGGACGGATCGCCATGGCGTTTCTCGGCTTCCTTGCGCATGCCCTCGTCGCACAGATATGCCAGGTTGGTATCGTCCAGTTGCACGAAACGGCAACCCGCAGCATACAGGTCGGCGATCTCTTCCTGGTACACGCGCTTGAGGTCCTCGAAGAAGGGGTCCAGCGTGGGATACGCGTCCTTGTCGATGGAGTCTCGGCCGCCCCTAAAATGAACCATTGTCGGGCTTGGAATGCAGACCTTGGCCGTGACCGTGCCGGTGGCGCCGGCGGCGGCTATTTGCTTCTCCAGGTACTTGAAGTCGTCGACCTGTACGGGCTTGGAATGGCCCAGCTTGCCGACGACGACCAGGCGCGGCGGCGTCATGCCGTGGGTGGTGATGTTGGTGGACGACACATTGCCTGCGCGCTCCACGCCGTCGAGGTGGACGCAGAAGTCGACATGGAACCAGGCGCGGCGGTACTCGCCGTCCGTCACTGAGCGCAGGCCAGCGGCAATCTCTTGCTGCACGACGGCGGCGATGTGCTCGTCCTCGACATCTCGTAATTGCGCAGGCGAGATGTTGCCATCGGCGGCCTTCTGACGAGCGGCGAGGACGGCTTCCGGCCGGAGAAAGGACCCCACCTGGTCCGCGCGGTAGACACCCGGGGGCAACGGCATTCTAGCTGCTGGGATTGCTGCCGACTGGATGTGATACAAATGCAGGGGTATCGGATACTGCTCCCTCTCTCTCTCTCTCTCCCTCTATGTGTGTGTGTGTGTGTGTGTCTGTTCAAATAACACTCCTAAGTAAGTATGTTGAGAATGAGTGGTAATTTTGCAGCACTCCTAGAGCTAAGGGTGGATGATAGGTGCATACATTTACACAAGTATATAAACATAAAAGATATAGATATATACAGATACGTAATTGTCGAATAATACAGGCAAGAAAACAAGAGAAGGAAGAGGAAATAGAAGAAATGCACCAAGATTCATGAAAAGTAGGAGCTGGCCCAAAGAGGAAAAGAAGACGAAGAAAGAAAGGCGGGGAAGACAGACAGGCCATAATATCTACCGAATGACGTCCCCTGGAAGTTTAGAATCCAGTCTAGGAAGCAGGCACTTGACACTACCTGGGTCAGGCTAGGGAACTCTACAGGCGTCAGTCACCGAATAACGTTAATGGCCTGCTTGGCGGCATAGCACTCCACCGGGGCGAGGCCCGGTTCCTCCATCTCCGCGCATCAATGGATCATCGTTTGGCCCCAGAGCGGCAGCACTTTGTTTGTGGTAACTTCGCCTCAGGCATGCTGCCTACAATAATCTATATATGTAGATATATACATAGATATATACGCACATACAAACATACACATACGTTTACTGTGAGTATATAACGTTACATGCAAATGCACTCTGGAGTGAATGGATGAGACTATTTGTTAATGGATGGAAACGACCATTGCTAACCCTGGCCCCCGGTTGTGACTTGGGGATCACCTTTTTCCGCCCTTTGCTCTTCGGACGCCAAGTGCCGTCGTCCGTGATCACCTACGGCCCGACAACCGTCGCTTGGCCTAGCTGCGTAGCTTTGCCGGCTGCTGCGTGCATGGCGATTATGCTCAAACTCCCACAGACTTTGCTTGTCTATTGAGCACTATTTCTCAACCTTCCAGCGGAATTAAAAAGAAGAATAAGGGAGGTGGATCATTTCAAGATTTATCAACACAGAAAATGTATCTGTCGTTTAATATTATCCGCTGCTCATATCATGTGTGTGGTGTCTACCTCGCATCTCACCTTATGCTACGCGCGGAGCATTCCAGTGTGCGGCTCAAGGCATTTAAGCAATCGCGCGTTTTTCTAAACACGGTAGGTCACCGTTAATGTCTCCTGATAACGAAATCTCGTCTACACTGTATGTAGCTCTCGCTTATTTTGCCTCCGCCCTGGTCTGCTCACTTCGCTGTTGTCGTAGGACGGATGAATGACGCGAGGTCAAGACCTGTGTAATGTTTATCAGGGTGTTGAATCTCTAGGAAGCCTGTGGCCGGTGTATATATAGACTTAAAGCTATGGATTGTTGACACGAGTCCTCTCTTTTGATGTAAGTCGATGCCAGGTTCCCACCGGTGAATATAGCGTCAAATGCGCTTTCGAGCAGAACTTGACAATCAGCATGGTTTCATAGCTACAATTATGTGCACAACGTGCTTCCTCTTTTGTTTATGTCTCTCGACGTCTTGAGATGCACGTATTGTATATGCTATAATGAAACCACCATGCGTTCTAATTACTGATCAGATGACGCTCCATACACATGGGAGTTGGAACCAAGTTGCCCGGTGTCGTTGAATGTTTCAAGACTTCAACCTCTGCAGTCCTGCCGCCTTTAGATCCTGGCCAGGTACTTGGCATCCTGTTCATGTCCCTGCATACGTAATTTGAGTGCCTTTTGCAAGTCTTCTTCATCCGTAGACTATATCGCTGTGGCACGGCCCTTGCCTTTGTTATTTTGATGGTGCACCTCTAAAAGACTCTGCTTCTTGACGTACTCCATCACGATCTCTTCTTCTGTTCTCTCTTGGAACACATTCTCCCCCCGCAGTCCCTGTTGTTGCGCCTCGAATTTACTTTGAGCGGTGCCCGCAAGATACCCCGGATCATATGAAGATGGTCCCTGGACGCCTAGCGACCCGCCAGCCACGGCTCCCGCCTTCTCCGCCATCTTTCGGTGTTTTTTTATTCCCCCATAGGATTGAACATGTTTTTCATCATCATTATCATCACCGAGATCAATATTTAAGTCCCATTCACTGTGGCTACTCCTCTGTCTCTGGTCCTCCAGACTCTGCGCCACGGCTCGCTGCAGCTGCTTCTCATACTCTAATGCTTCGGTTGCTTGCCGCTGAGCTTCGGCTTGGCTGAACGCCATGGCCTGACGCAAATTTTCCTCATCTGTCTGATGATCTGCAGCTTCTTGTCGTTGACGCCGAAACTGAGACACGTTTCCCCGAATAGACCACTCCGCATCGGCATCCTCTTCTGTGCCTCTACGTGAAGCCTCCTCGGCTAGCAATTGAATAGTTCCGTTGACTTCAACCGCTTCCAACGATTCTTCTGGGGACTGTGCACCGCCCATTGCGAGTATGGCAGTCTCGGGGTCTCGAGTCAGAGCTTCTGCATTGGCGAACTGAGAGGAACTCGCCGTACGTCCGCAGTGTTGAAGCGTCTCTCCATTCTTCATGTTCATCTTTCGCTGTGCTTCCAAGACATCTTGTACCATCTCGTTGGGTTTGCTTTTTTTCTTTAAATATTTCTGGATCAACCTCCACCGATCGATGACATCTTGCTTTTCTATATCAGAGCTCTGTAGCCACTCTTCGTATCCTTGAGCTGCCCTGGACACGACAATGTAGTTTTGCACATTGGCCCCGAATAACTTCTGCACCTCTTTGTGTATCCCCTTCATTGTATAGCCGAGGATACCCAAGACGCCAGCACCTGGCTTAGCTATGAAGCCCCCCATCCCTTTGCCGATTCCCTTTAAAAAGCCGCTAGCACCATCTTTCTGGGCGCCTTTCCACGGCTGAGTGACTAGGCCAGTAACGCCGTCGTACCAGCCAAGGCCAAACTCTTTTCCTGCTGTTTTGGCACCGGATATGAAGTCGCTCACTTGTGCTTGAGGGCGCACGGTATCGTCTCCCCAGAGCTTTGGGAGATTATGAAATCCTTTGGTAAAACTCATCGAGAGTTCCATGGGTGACTGCACAAGCGCCTTTGCGAAACGCCCGAGGCCTTTGCTCGTGTGCACGCCAGTCTCGCGAAGCATATCATCATGACCTTTGCCGGGGCCGGATTCATTGCGATGGCGGACTTGACGTCGGCCATCGTCATCTTGATTGGGACTCAACTCGCTTTGCAATGCATCGGACAGGGAGCTTGATCCGAGGTTCGACGTGGAATATGACAGACCGGAGGTGATGGGGGGGTTCCTAACAAGAGCAAGAGATTCCTGCACGTTCAAGCTCGTCTGGCTTTGCTCCGGCGAAGTTAGCGGAATCGGCCTTTCTCCCGCACTCAAGGTCTCGCGCTTCCCTGCGATTATCGGCACCAATGCTTGGGGTTGTTGTCGGTCATGGTTGTACTTGAAAGGAAGCTGCAAAGCTTTGAATGTTTCCGAGGGAAAATCGGCCAACCCCATTGCCATGCTGCTGAACGCACCACAAGCTGCCACAAAACCTCCGGAAATTGGATCCCAAGGACCTTGGTCGGTTTCGTATTCTTGCGGTCTGAAGAGCTTCAGGTCATGGAAATCCAAGAGATCTGCATTCGCCAAAGTACAGGCAGCAAAGGCGCTCAACCTGACCTGGGTGCGCTTGATACGCCACGCAGCGGGTCGAGATGGTGCAAGGGCGCAACGGAGTCGGTCGACCTCGAGATATTGATGGAACAACTGAGCGCCCACATCGCTGCCTCGCTCCATCGCAATCTTGTTTGCTAGTTCCCTAGCTCGTTCTAGGCTCTCGGGTTTCAGACAGAAGTTGATGGCGTCGGCCAATTTATCCGCAGTAAGTTGTTTATGAGGGATTGGATCGGGGCCGGCTCCTGCTCGCGCGACCATTGTCCCCCAGAAAGGTTGATCTCCAAAGAAGGGAACGACTACAGTCGGCCGGGCTGCGGTAATGCCTGCCGCCGTGGTTCCTGCGCCGCCATGGTGAACGACGCACGAGACGTGTTGGAAAAGCCAGTCATGCGGCGTGTTGCCTAGCATAAAGACGCCATCGGGGATACGGAGCCCGTCCATGCCCATGCCTCCCCAGCCTTTAGAAAGAAGGACACGCTGCCCAGTCTTCCTTGCGGTCTCGAATATGAGTTCCGTCATCGCGTCAGGATCATCCAAGACGATACTCCCAAATCCTATATAGACAGGGGGTGGGCCAGTGTCGATGAATGCCTGTAAATCAGCGGCAGGGGTGTAGTTAGTGGCCAAATTAAGAGAGTAGAATCCGGATATGGATATGTAAGAGCCCCAGTCTTTCGGTTTAGGTATCAGGGCCGGAGACCAGCAGTAGGTGTGAGGAACCTTGAGACGCTGGAGCATTCCGGGGGCCCACATCAGACTGATAGGATCCAACCCAAGACATTTCGCACGAAAACGGTTGATGATATCCCCTAGGCCCTGCCATGAGAGGACCTCGATCATAGCATAACTGATGTAATTGGTGAGCTGAGGGTCGGCGTTAGAGGATTGAATATTGGCCAGCGGATGGGGAAAGGCCTGGGTAGGAGAATATGGCATAGTGAACATGATATGGAGCGGAACTCCCAGCTTCTCTGCACAGTGAATGTGGGCAAAGCTTGGGGGGTTGGCGATGATGCAGTCAGCGATGAAGGGTCTTGCTGTAGCCTCGGAGCCAGGGTAATTCTCAGGGAAGTTAGCAAGGTCATCGTCAGTAGCACGAAGATCCATTCCATCACCGGCTTCGTAGCAAGATCGCCAGCAGCCTCGAATGTACTCGGCAACATCTCTTCTTCGTCTACCGACATCTCCACTTAGTAGACTGCGAAAGCCCGGAATGAGACTGGGATTCTTGACCATGAAGGCCATCAGCTGGGAGGGGTCGCCGCCAATGCTGAAAAATTCCAGGCCATTCTCCTGCACAAATCCCTTGAAGTTGGGATGAGTTGCAAGACGCACGCGATGGCCGTAGGTGTCTTTCAAGACTTTCCCCAAGGCAACGAAGGGTTGCACGTCTCCACGCGATCCCACGACCTGGATGACGATGTTCAGGGGCGGGGGTGGAGGGATTCCCTCATCGCCACCCAAGGAAGAGGGGATGTAGGGTGGAGGAGGCGGACGACTATCCTGGGCACTCTGGACTTGTTGACGTAAAGTAGGGGTAAATATCTGTGACAAACGGCGATTGAACTGGTTGATGCGGATGTTGACGCGGCCGTCATCGGTGACACGGGCACTGGTGCCCATACCGTCCTTGTCCTCGCGGATCTCGCCATAAATTTCGCCGTAAGTAGGAGGAGGTATGTCGTCCTCACCTACATCGGGGGTGATGAGGTCAATCTTCTGCAGGGGGACCTCCTGTCTCGTGGCTCTTGTGGGATCGGTCTGGGCGGCCGCGGCAGCTTGTGCCTGCTCAAGTATGGATTGCTGCACGATTGTCTCCAGGACGGGTCGAGCCTCTTCTGAGCGAGATTGGCAAGCCATGGCATTAACGAGAGAGAACAGGCTGGCTTCACCTCATTCAGTCACGGCATCATTGTTATATCGTAGGAAAGTGACTGGGGTGAGTGGCTAAGTGAGGTGACGCGGCTGTAGCGAGAGGGAAAGAGATCTCATATTGTGGTAGCAGGCATAAGTATCGAGAGCAGGATATTGACGCATTGGAAGACATGATCAATAAATATATGTATTCAGTGCCCAGGCTAACTCTTTCTCTCCCATATGCGCTCTGAAGGCACACTCCTTTTTACGGTTAGACGGTTACGAGATCATTTCTGGTCAGACAGGCACGAGGTGCTTGGCCCCCCGCCCCGGCCCAATCAAGAGCCGTGTCTCAACCAAGCTTACCTGTCTCTCGGGCACGTAGCACATCAAGTGTGTACCAACTTGAGCGAATCATGTCTTGCGGGTCTCGACGTCAAGGCAGGGCAAGGTGGCTGTGACCTATGTAGGGCTGTCTCGTAAAGATCTAACCCTTTCTGGACTGAATTCGTCACTTGCAAATATGCCAAGCCTGTGAATAGTCGAGAGGATAGATATGTACGTATATATATATATATATACATGTGCTCTCTGTATATATAAGCCGCAGAGTTTCATGGTGATGTCCTAGATCAATTCCATTCAGTCGCGCAAAACATTATCACCAGGAGCAATTCACTCCTTTCTTCTTCTTCTTCTCCTTGTTGCTCTCTCCTCGGGTCAACTGAAGTGTCTTTCGAAATTAGAATCAAGATGTTAGACTCTTGCTCTTTCCAAAATATTGACAGTTGCACTGTAGAGACAGTCCCCTCAGCTGCGCCCAGGTGGAATATGTACCCACATTTGCCGGAAACGCCGTCTATGATGCTGCTTTTGGCCTGCTTCTGCTCGGGTAGCTTGGACTGGGCATTAGGTACAAGACTTCAGGATTTATGGTTGGTATGATTTGTGGTCTCATTCTTGAGATTGTTGGATATGTCGGCAGAATCATGCTGCATGACGACCCATTTGACTTCAGTAATTTCATCATGTAAGCCTTCACTTCCTCCTCAATTCTCCATCCCGTCCAAGTCCGAGAACACTGTCCTGATAGCACTCTATAGCTACCTCGTCCCGCTAACAATCGCCCCTGCTTTCATCGCTGGCGCCCTCTACCTGTGCGTTTCCCGCATAATCGTCGCCTACGGCCAGGATATATCCCGCTTCAGCCCGCGCACCTACGCAATCACCTTCATGACAAGCGACTTCATCTCGCTTGTTCTTCAAGGCACCGGTGGCGGGCTCGCAGCCACGGCCAATGACTACTCTGAGGGTGAGACAGGAAGGGGTATCATGGTTGCTGGTGTTGTGTTTCAAGTCGTCTCACTGCTCGTCTTCATAGGATCGTGGTTGGAGTTCGTGTTCAGTCTATGCAGGACATCCGAGAGCGCTAGAGACGAGCGCTTCGTAGAGCTGAGGGGCGGGCAGAAGTTCACATGGTTCTAGTATGTGCTCGGTGTGGCTGTGGTGCTTGTCTTTATCCGTTTGGTATCCCGTGTCGCAGAGCTGCAACAAGTTTTCACCGAACCCATTACCAGTGACGAGGTGTCTTTTACGATCTTGGAGGCCCGGTGATTTTCCTAGCAGTACTTGTGATGACTGTGTTGCACCCTGGTATAGCGTTTGGGGTTGAGTTGAACCGCGCGGTTTGGTCGGTCAACTGCTTCTGCCACGAGCAGCTCGTAAATGAAAGGCGTTCACTTGCAACAGAGCTTTAACCCGTTGTCTAAATAAGTGTGGGATCAAAATGCCAAGAGCGATCGCAGCGAGTTCATCATGGAGTCACGTAAGGTCTTATCGCTATTGTCGCTGAGAACCGCCTCCTTTAGAGTATCACAGAACAGTAGTCTCTCATATAGACGAGCAGGGTAGATTTGCGTCCCTGTAAATTAAGAGTAGCAGGACCGCCTCCACTATGTCTGAATGGACCTGGCATCTTGAAGTTATTCGTCTGAAGATGATTTTGCGAGTGCAGGATCTCGGATAAGGTTCTCGTGGGATACTGTTGGAAGTTGGCGAGATCTATGTATCAGCTCGACCAGCAACACACTTAGGATTAGCACGCCGTTTGGTCACTGCACAGGCGGCGAGGGTTTTGGCTGGAAGCCACTGGAGATGTAGCATAGATAGCGCTCTCAACTTCCAGAACAACTAAAAACAATGCATCATAGCGTGATATACTCCGTGGTTGTTTGCCACTCTCCCAATAGCCCCCATGGCTTTGTCTGGAACACGGCTTCAACCGTACCTGGGCAAGCCGGACTGGGCACGATGCTGTGGCCAGACTTCAAGAAGTCAAAAGGCATCTCGCCCGGGTTGTAGATCCGCGACTCATCATCGGGCAGAGGGAGACCATGGAGTCTCGAACTCTCGTCTGGCAATTCACGCCCTTTAAGATGCCTTTCTTCCAGCTCGATCACTCGTTTGGCAGTTACGTAGGCGTAGTGTGCATTCCAGAGCCCTTCCCGCCGAGGTGCCAATCGCAGCATTTCCAGCGCGCGTCTTCGAATCGCGGGATGACGGCATTTCAGCGCGGTATAGTACAAAGGCCCCAGGATCTGGATCTCGAAAGACAGCGGTTGCGGTAATACCACTCCCATGCCTGGCTTGACTATTTGATCTGCGTAGTGCAGAAGCTCTTCAAAATCGGCATGATAAAGGTCCGTGGCCGTTTCCGCAGCTATGGTACAGACTCGCAACCAGATGTAAATGACTTTATAATGCACCAAGAGTAGATTGAATGTGTCTTGTTTTGCCGGGTTACCAGCGGCCTGCATACGCCCAAGAAGTTTGTATAGCTGGTCACGCCATGCGTCTAGCCTTGTTTGGAGTTTAGCCTGCTGAGCGAGATCGTCAATCTCAATTTGGAATACAGCTGCCTTAGTACTGGTTTCGCCAATGAAGCGGATGCAGGTGTCTGAGATATCGAAGAGCCGCCGTCTAGAGTTGGTGAGGTCTCCCCGAGTAGAGTCTTCTTTAGTTGTAGGAGCGTATATTGGCGGAGTCATTTTGCCAGCGAGAGAGCAGAGTACACTCAGGCGGGAGAACATCGGAACGATGTGATCTTCGATAACTGTAAGATCGTCGGTCGAGAAATTGGACCCTGAATCAGGGACTGTATCGCTGTTGCGGCGGAGCGTGGCCAAGATATTGAATCCACTCTGAACGTGAAACATAGAGGATTCAACATTGCCCCTGAGGAAATCGATACATGTAAACAGAAGGCAGCAGACCAAAGGCACCAAGATCGAGTTGGGATGCGCTTTAATTCGAGCTGATAGGCTCCTCGCTGCCTTGGTCCACTCTCGTTGGGCCTCGGGGTTGGCATCAATGTAGCCTGCCGGATGCCGTAAAGACAATTCGACGTCTTGGTAAATGATGCTGGTCGCTGATACGGCATGTCGAATTGATGGCTCGGAGTGTGACAGTTGCAATACAAGCCTGCTCCAGAACTTTTCATCGAATTCTCCATCCAAAATCGCTGCAAGTTTCTGGTGGAAGAAGTTGAGGCCGCGGTCATTTACGAAGAGTACCGGTTGACTTTGCGTAGGAGCCAAATATACCGTGACAACAGCTCGACGTGGTGGTGCTGTACGTACGGTGTTGTACTCGCATTTCCGGCCTCCAACGATGCAACGTCGACAAATAGGCTTGCTTTCATCGCATTTCACTCGACGAGCTTTGCAAACGCAGCACCCAGTCCGAACTTTGGATGTACTTTCTCGGGTTCTCTTCAGCCCAATATCCAGTCCATGGGACATACTGAAGGATGATGCTGATTCGAGGAAAAGTAAGCTCGGTATTCAAACAACTGTCGAAATATAGAAGTCTAAGTCATTTGGCGCTAGGAGGCATGCAAGCAACGGATGATGGAAAAAGCTGCTGGATGGGGCAAGATCAGGCAGCTCTTTTGTCAATTTCTCCAGCATCGGCATGGCTGCTGGTGGGAGGGACGTATTTCAGCCCCGCCATCAGACCTAACCCGAACTGGCCAGGGGCTGTGCACGTATATCAACAGACAATTAATTATGTATGCACCAGGCACGCCAGCTTGCCAGGGAGCCAGGGCAGTGGTGAAGAATAGGGTTGGCAAAAAAACTAAGTGAATAATAGTAACTATTAGTTACTATTAATTTAGTTAGCTTTAGTCACGATTTAAAAAAAAAACCAGTTAGTTTTAGTCAAAGTAAAAACTAAACTAATAGTTACCTTTAGTTCTTTAAAAACTAATCTAAAAAGTAAAATATAAGCTTATTTTACATATTTAGTTAAATAAATAGTATTTAGGACTTATTTTAAAGTAAAGAAAAAACCCTTATTCTAACTCTATATATTATTATTATTATTGTTACTAATACTCTGATATACCATAGACTCTTGATACCTCTACCTAATATTAACCATATAGGAAAAACCTTATATAAAAGCTAGACGAAAACCTACATATATCCTATAAGTACCCTATACACCATAAGGCCTACGATAGCCCTACAAACACTATCTAAACTCCCTACAGTTATATAACGTCATCATTATATTCTCGACTTTACTTAAAGGAGCTGACGTTATAAGGCTTTATAGTTTTAAAACCTCTTATTTTTCTATATCTATAGATAGTTTTATTACTACTGATTGACATTTATAAAGACTCTTATCAATTTTATCGATTCTAAATCAAATAGATTATAATAATAAATTACTTTAATTTTAGTATAACTTCTACTAAAGCTTACCTTCCTAATATAAGTAAATATTTTATAACCTTAAGGTAAGAAGGCTTAGAAAGGGAAGGATAAGTTCTCTTTTAGGCTAATTGACGATATATAAGCAACTACCATCTCTTCTATAATAAAAGTATAATAAGGTAACAACTATCCTAAAAGGTTAGAATTCTCTTAAGATGGTTGCTTACTATATAGAGAAGATTAATGATTGCCTTACTATTACCTCTTTCTAATTGTCAAACTATATATCTATAGATTAAAAAGGTAGCTATACCATAGCTACCATATAGTATAGTCAGCAGGGTTGGTAATTAGTATAATTAGTATAGTACACACCCATACTAATACTAGCCTAGTACGTACTATACTAATTATACGACTAGTATAGTATTCTGAAGGGCGTACTAATACTATACTAGTATACTAGTCTAATATAATTAGTATACTAGTATACTAGCCTCACTTTTAAGGCTATATATATAAAAATCATACTATAGTAAATAAATCAACTAATTTAATTACTAAATCAATTAAACTAATACTAACTATATAACTAATTTAATTAAGCTATATTACTTATTTTCCTTCTCTTCTTCTTCAAATATCTCTTTTAACTTACTTATATCTTTAATTTTCCAACTTTTTAGTAAAATAA